TCAGAAAGATGACCAATCAGAAAGAATAATTCAAACTTTTAAGGGATTTGCTTTATTTATGTATTTTGAATTTTGGAAAATTGGATTCACATATATCATTAATAGAATTAGCATATAAGCTCTTTGTGGGAGGAATTCAAGGTCCTGTTGGGTTGAAACATAAGGAATAATCATCGATGCATATTTAGTGGATAATGCTACTAGGAAGATTAAAGGTTGTACAAAATAGGCAATCAAAATACTATGATGCAATGAAAATAGGCAATCCAAAAGCTCGTATTCATCAAACTCAATCCAATGAACAATGAGCAATGCTTTGGAAAGACAAAAAAATTAAGCTCACATTATGAAGAGCCATATGAGATTTTTGAAAGAATTCAAAATATGGCTTATAAATTAGCTTTACAAGCACATATGTAAAAAGTGCATAATGTGTTACATATTTCTACACTTTGAAAGTATATTGCTGATAAATTGCGTGAAGAGATTACAAATGTAGTTGATATAACACCTGATTTGATTTTTATAGAAAAACCTAAAAGAATATTGAAATATGATGTAAAAAGGCTCCATAATAAAGCACATACATTTATAAGTGTTCCATGGAAGCATGGTTTAGAAAAAAAAAAGCAACTTTGGGGTATTTAACATAATGCATAAAAAGATATCCTCATAAATTCAATTAAGGCATGTTATTTTTATTGTACTTCTCAAATTTTGAGGATGAAATTTTTATAAAGATGAAATATTGTAATAAGTAAAGATGATATTGGTAATAATAAAAATAATAATAATAAGTTATATTTCGAATGGCACCAATGGTTCGACGTTACTAGCAAATTCGATTACATTTAAGAGAGGAAAAGGGAATGTTCAATTTCCATAAGCAGTTGAGCGAGAAAGATAGAGACAAAGAAGAAAATGAGTGGTGTGCATCTCGTGTGTGAAAGAGTCAAAATCGAAGGAAACGAACAAGTTACATTAATTTAAAACCATGAAGCAGAGGCAAACAGAGGTAAAGACATGCTAAAGCTATAGCGAGGAAGTTGATTGATCAAACTTGCAGGAATCCAATGCGAGAGAAGAGAGCTTGATCAGAAGCAAGGGTGATACACACGTCTTCTATAAGAGGTCCTCAAGTATGACAGGCAAAGCATTCTGCATGCAAGAGATGAGCGACATTGCATGTGAGACTTCTCGCATCTCAAGTGTGTGAGTTGTATGAGTTGGGTTGGCTAAATAGAGCAAGCTATAAGGAAGGTGGTTATGGTTAATTTTATTTTTATAAAAGTTTAAATTATTGGGAGATTTACATACATACCATTCAATTCTTAAGCATTTACATATTTATCACCTAAACTTATCTTTTTACAAACCAAACACAAAAATCAACTGAACACAACAAAAATACCATCCTTACTTTTTTCATAACCTCTTCTTTGACAACATCATCGGGGAGATGTGTCACCCTAAGGCATCAATCATCACTCCCATTTTCTAACATGTCAGCACGAGAGAAGACGAGGGGCCCAAGCTTTGGAGGTGATAGCAGGGAATGAAAACTGACTTCATCGTATGCGGAGCACAAGCGACTCCTCGAATGTCTTCTTCATCACCATATTCAGTGCTCTCATCATCTAGGCCATCCCTATGCCACAACCACCCAGGTAGATGTAATGGAAGAGAACCAAAGAAGAAGATGAAGAAATTTTACGATAAAGTAACGACCTTTATCCACGAGGAAGCACGAGGTTTCCTCGGTGCAGAAGGCCGAGCGAGAGTTATCGCGAGCAACGAATAGCATAGCCAAGAAACCCCCAACTCCAATATCAATGGTGAGGTCAAAGTAGTCAGAGATCCAAGCATCTGAATCACCTGATTTTGAATCCTTCACCTTTAATCAAATCTGAAATCCTAAATTGAGAATAAAATTCATACTGCAATTATTTGTTGTCTTTCAATGATCCTGAATTGAGCTTAAGTTCCCAGTATTTTCAAGTGAAGTGTTGTTTCATAGTTGTTCCCATCATTGCTCTATGTGTCAAGTTCACACTTGACTATGACATTGCCATTGAAAACCATCACCCTAACCTTAGTTTCCACCTCCCAAAGATTTTCTCCGAGCTTCCTCGTTGAAAGACTTTCTTTGCCTTGTTGCAGCCTGACGCCTCTCTCCCAATGCCAACGTCAGAGCAGAGGTTACGACGGAGGGTTACAGGGGCAATTAGAGTGTTATTTTTGTTGTATTCGATTGATTTGGGTGGCAGACATGAAAAAAATGTAATTTTAGGAGTTAGATATGTAAATGCTTAAGAATTGTGTGGTATGTATGTAAATCTCCGCCACAAAATTACTTAAAAGTTAATAAGTATTAAAATAATAATTATGTATTAATTGTGTTAGGAATTGAAAAATGAAGAAATTTACTAATTTAAAGCTTTGAAGGATTGAGATCATGAAGTTCACAAAAAGAACAAAGAGACTTGAGATCAGTTTTTGCTAGTTTCTTTAATTTATATACATAATTATATTCAAAAAATATTTTTACATATGATAGAAAATAAATAAGATCTGATTAGGAGAAAAGTATGTTTGGAATAAATACAACAAATTTAAGCTAAGCAAGAAATATTACCTTGAGTTATGTAATTAATTAGGAATACTACAATTAAATTAGGGATTGTGTTCTTTGTATTATAAAATTAATTTAAAAATTTAGTTGAAAAGATTTAATAATCCTTTTTTGTCATTAGAGATAACAAAATTTTCTGAAAGTTTAGACCTTAGGAAAGTTAAAGTGAGGATTATAAAAAAATATTAGGTAAAACTTGACATAAAAATTTATTTAGAAGTTTTAGAATTTGGAAATTTAAAAATATGACTTATGATTTCAGGCGCTAAATCTAGGGAGGTTGAGACTAAAAATTTAAATGATATCAAAAATCATCAAAAGGATTAGGAGAGTAATTAATATATATACTAAATTTCTTTTCTTTTATTAAAAGTGGTCATGTTTTTAAAGAATAAAATCATAACGATGAAGATAAACTAAACAAACATATTATTTAACAATTTTTCATTTAATCCATACACATTAGAAGCTAAAAATATTTCTATAAGTCAATAAAAATAAATGAAAATTAAATGACTAGTGTTTAAATTATTTCACATAATATATCGTATAAAAGGTTTAACAAATGAGTTCAACTATTGAAAGAAATTAAATATCTTCTAAATGGAAAATAAATATCAAAGTCAATTAGGAGTAATCTCCTTATAGTATTAGTAGGGTACATTATTGTATCTGCACATGAATTTGAAAATAAAATAAAAATATTTATATCTTAATCTGTACAAGTTTCTAGACGGTGCTTCTGAACTAATTTTTTAAATGAAAATAAATTTAAAACATCATTAAAATTTTGAATTAAAAAATTGAAAATTTAACTGTTTTACCATTTTAAATCACATAAATGTTTAAGTATAAACATAAGATTTAGTGCATGATAGAATAGTAGTTATTCACTAAGCTATTTTAAACTTAATATGTTGTCTAATTGCTCTTTCAGGAAAGTTAAATTGAATTAAAATGAATGACAGGAAAGATTTTATAAGAGGTTGAAATGAAAATAGGTATTAGACATTGTTGTTTTATGTTTGGTTTTCTTTCTTACTTGTATTGATGCACACTAGATGTCATTTTATGTTGAATTGGATGATAATTTAAATACTTCTAAGGTTTAGTGATTATTATTGTTTGGATGATCGTCATTGTGGATTATTCAAAATAGTTAGACCGATATGCTTTTAACATCCATCATCCGCTCCCGCCTTGATAATTCAAGCTTCCGAATTAGGTCATGACAATCTTACAGTTTAAAACTGGTGTATTCTAAATTCATTAGATTTGAATGATTTCTAAATACACTACATATTGCAATCTGTCGGCTATTATTGTCGTAGCTCACAACCACTAGTTACCACCATTGCCATCACTGAGTATGTTTTATTTTGATTTCATTTTTATTCAAATTAAATATAAAAATATAAATTTTTGCATTTACTTTACACAATCCAAACAAATTCATAAGTATTCAAATAACTATATTTCAATACACTATATTCCTTTTACATTATATTCCTTCTTCAACAAACCAAACAACCACTATGGATGAATAGAATCATGAGCGCAAAATTTTGCATAAAATAGCGTTTACAATACATGTAGTAATAACGAATCAAAAAAAAGATTTAGAGTGTTGACCCTAAATAGCAGGCAAAAGATTAATGATGGTAAACACTATCCAACAAATTTATTGAAGAAACCAACTTGCTAAACATCTTGGTTTTCAACTTTAAAGCATCCAATTCGAATAATCAATATGTAAAATACTATTCTACACCTATTTAGATGTCTTCACAACAAATTTCATTTATATTAAGATATTCATGCGTCAATGTCCACAAAAGAAAGACTTTTCGGGGTTAATTTTGCATCAAACTCATGTTATGGTAAAATTATTTCATTTCCAACCGACTCAATAATTAAAACTTCATGGCACACCTATTTCCAATACCATAATACCATTAACTCTTTGAAAAACGGTTCCATTAGACAAGGATTCATTGTTTAGATTTTTCAAGGTTCACTTGCAAGTTAGGTTTTTACAAGAAGAAGAAGAGGAAGAAGAAGTTAGGTTTTTAGAATAAAAAAACATTCAGTCATCATGCCTTTAAAATGCTAACTCGGGCAAGGAGCCATGAAGTATTGAAATTTAGCATGCTAGCAAGTATTCTATCAGAATGCATATAGGCCCTAGAAGATCATTGCAATTTTTATGGGAGCATATAGACCTCAATGAGACTCATATTTGGATGTTTTAGAATGAAAAAAGAATTAGGTTGGATGTACTGATGGTTATGATTGATAGCAGCATACATACCGTGAAACTGAATGAATGAATCATTCAAAATACATGAGGAAAAAAGTAGAGAATTACCTGTGAAGCAATGAGAACAATAACCCAACCACAGGCAAAGGCACTCTTATCAAAACTTCCACTAGGGTTTTCACAAAGAGACACAACCTGAAGAAAATAATAGAAACCATGAAAAGATCTATAAAAGAATATCGACTATGATATAGACTGAGAAAACCATGATTACATAGCTAAAAAACTAAATAAGTATAAAAAATGCAGCAAAATTAACAGAAAAATAGTCCATGCAAAATAAATTCAACAAAGAAATAATGAAAATAGAAGATGGCTGTTTGCTCTGAATTTCAGAAAAAATGATTTTCATGTATATTGATTGAATTCCAAGATGTCATGATATTTAAAGGTGAGGGAAAGTAGCTCGATAGATGAGCACCTAAATTTCAAAGTTATAAGTTCAGGAAAAAAAGATATAAAGCTTGAAAGCTATCCTCTTCTTAATGGCAGCTAAGCGTAATTGCTTATTTTAAAAAAAAATATCATATAACCTTATTTTAACAGCAATTACAGCAAAGCTAACAAATCAATTTATGAAATTTGACAGGCATTTATAAGATCCTGCATTTTTAAAATTTAAACATCCGAAAAGCCTAATCCATTCATTGCTATGAGCAATTTAATTGTAGTAAATGCTACAAATATCCAAAAACTAATGATGCACTTTTTAAGAACTGCATCATCTCATGATGTTCTTCTATGACAACTAGTAATATGACATTCTAGGTCATGGCGTGTTTTCAAGTGACAATATTATAATGCTATTGACCAGCTTAAACTCAAGGCACAAGCAGATTAGATCAAGCTGACATGGAAAACAGGAAATCACAACACAGCACAAAAAAACAAAAAGGGTGAACAAGAAAATGGGATTACCTTGTTTGCAAAGACCAACAATGAGATTGAAAGAGGTAACATCGGATCTTTAATAAGTTGCACTAAAACATGTGCTTTTGCTCTGTTTAAAAAAAAAAAAAAAAAAAAAAGTTTAAGCAAAAAAAATTAGCAAGCAGTTGCCACATACAAAGCTGTTCCCATCAAGTGTTTTAAATTATTGAGAATGGAAAGACACTTTCCTTATCCCTAAGCTGCAGCATAATTGTAGAATTGCAATCTTAGAAAGATACAGTCAACATGTCATCAGATATTAATAACTACTACTTCGAGTCAAGTACATCTTCAGCATGTACCCCTAACCGAAGCTATGGTTGGAGTGATTCTGTCTACTAATAAGATCATGTTATAGCTTGAATATGGAAATCTGCACAATATAAGGTTAAATCTACAAATATCCACAACCTTCCCAGGCCCTACTTTGGCAAGACATTTATGTGCTGACCGTTTATTTATAGCTCATGCATAGGGCTGTAATCGAACCGAGTCGAGCCCAGTATATCATAGTTCGGACTTGGCTTGGTATAATTATATTTTGTTCATATTCGGCTTGAGCTTGTGTCGAGCTTTCATATATTGTTCAAACTTGACTTATTTAAATTTTTTTATATTTTAACTTGATGAGAGGTGAACGAGTATTTAAACGAGCTAAAAAATTAAACGAGTATCTAAATTTTTATACAAAAAAATCAATAAATAATTTTATAAATTTGATTTCAACTATTAATTTATTGATTAAAAACTCTAACCCTACAATATCTTAAATCTCATTTCTCCTCCATTCTTCCATAAATCCCTTTGTGGTTGTTTAGTAGAATGATTTGTGCGTATTTAAGTCTAAATCCTACCAAATAGCTAAAAAATGGCAATTTTAAAATCTACATAAACTTAATACATATATCATATATGATACGAGCTATCAACAAACAAGTTAATATTCTGGTTAATTAAATTTTATTTATATAATATATCCAATATAATATGAGCTGACATCGAGCTAATATCTCGAACTTAATAAATTACTTGTTGAACAACAAACAAGTTTGTTCGTGAACATGAATGTACATTTAAGCTTCGAGTTTTTAAAAATTATTCAAGCTTGTTTATTTAGTAATTGGAACGAATATGATCGAGTCTTAATCGAGCCGAGTTTGAGTTGTTCATTGAGTGCATTGGTTCATAACTAAAAATATTTTTTCAGTCATGTTTGAAATGGATGCCTAGCTATTGAAAATTAAATTCAATCACATAATAAAACATAAACTACTTAAGAATGGCTTTTTATTTGAGATGGTTAAAGTTAAGAAAAGCTGTAAATATCATTATGATTCTAATAAAATTATTTTTAATTGCAACGAAATTATCTATTCTGCTAGGGCAAATAGTATAGTATAAGTAGATCCATATAACTCCCACATCCTGCTTCTACATGAAATTTTTTTCCGTTCGATTTATCATATATTTCCATTTTGATGTACACATATACCCGTGCAACATTTGTCAAAATGCACATTACCATATGAAAGAGTAAAGTTTCAATAATGAAACAACTGACTGTGCTTTTGCTATTGTGATACTACATCAGTTTTATTCAAATCCACAACTTACTAAGCCATGGAATTTTATAATTGAGGCACAAAAACCTCAAAAGTCAAATAAATGTAGCTCAAAGGGAAAGATTATATAATACTGTAGTAGAAAAATACAATTGGAGTGAATTTAAACCTGACATTTTCCACTGTGCCTCCAATTTGCTTAATATATTTATACATCTGCCTTCCATGTTTATCAATAACCTAACATACAAAAAGTTAAATAGCATAACCACATTCATAAAGGAAAATTATATGATTATACACAAAAAATAAAGTAACAAACTAAATTTCAATGCAAAATCTAAAACTTACAAGTTCAAAGGAAAATAAAGAATACTAAGGAAATTAGGGATCGAGTAGCATTTTATGTGTTAATAGCAGCATGCAACTTCCACACAAAGGAAAAAAAGTTTATATGATACTACAATCTAATCTACACAAAAAAGCGCCCTAATTTAAATTCAATAAATAACCCATTCAGAATATTGGTAAACATCTTAGTTGGCGAACTTTTCTAGTTATTTCTTCACAAGTCAAGATGTTACAGATTAAGATGATACATATTGAACGATAAATGATTACCTTCTGATCAATAACATTGATCCTCCCAGCCACTTCATCGTATATTGCAAGACGGTTAGACTCAGCTTCAAGTGCAGCTTTAGAAGCAATAACCCTGATGCCTGTCAAAACAGGTTATTTGAAGTTTTGAGTTACATTTAAGCAGCAGACTTGTTTCTTTTTGTCAAAAATAATTTCTTTAGAGCACTAAACCTAGTTGCTTAGTAACAAAGTCTCCTTGCTTAATGTTACCAGATGTTCGAGTATTTTCTACGCCTTTTGGTTCTGTCAAATCCTTTTTCGAAGCATCAAATACAGCTGTTTCTGTTATTCTAGCAGCTTGTTTTTCTGCAGCCTCTTTAGCTGCTCTTATTTCAGCTTCCTGGGCTGCTTTTTGTGCTTCAGCTTGTTTAATAGCATTCAATCTAACCTGCAAAAATTAATATAGAGAAGGTACTTGAACAATGTCTAAATATAGAACAACATTAAGTAATGATAAAAACGTTGAAAGCTGAAAAATTATATCAAACTTAAATTTATTTTGAGAAATAGCAAATGTAGTAGGACTGCACATAAACAACCATTCTAACAATTTAATGACAAGAAAAAGGGTTTAGCCGCTGACATAAAATCTATGAGGTATTCTGAACACTTATTTAGGTAAGGAAAGTTGTTGTTGCATCCAAAGCAAACAAGGACTTGAAGCAAAGTAGGACCGAAGATGAAGCCATAGATTGGGTGTCCAAAGATAAAACAATAGAATGCGTATCAAATTTTACAGCTCTTAAGATATTTCCTATTTATCCTCCAAATGAAGTATCTTATATCACTAACCAACATTGGTTTGTGATTTCAAGATTTAACACGTTTATAAATAGGGCTATCCAGACAAAGGAAACGTATGATCTTGAAAATTTGGAAGTAAAAAAAAGGGATTTGATAAGTTCGAGTTTCTAAATATATGGTGGACAAGATTACAAACTGTCCCACAATCCAGAAAATTTACAGCATGTGGTGGTGGGAACTTCCAGCCAACTATGGAAATTTAAGCAGTTTACCAATATTTCACAGAAGATTAATTTCAGAGTAAATATGAATCAACTGGATAACATTATGTTACAGAGTAAAAGCTTTGATAGGAGCATATCCAGCTGCAACATACTGGTGTTATGCTTCCATCATAGCAACCATGATTATATTATGAAGGCATAGTGGCTACAGCCAGCAGTGCATAACCAATTCAACTGTGATTCTGCAGCTGAAAATTCTAAAAAAATCACTTCTGATGAATACTCCAAAAATCCAGTTATACAGCAGTCCTACATAGTCCAATCCAGATGACTTAAGCATGCATTACATTCCTGAACCTACTATGCAACTTCTAGCTCATAACACCATGTAGAATGGCCCTGCACTCCTACCATGCCTACATATCATATCATATCATATCATATCTTAAACATCTAAGTATTAGATTCAGCTGCTTCAGATTACTGTGCCATAATATTTTCCGCATTAATTTCATCGTTTCTAAAGCAGACACCATGATCCAGGATAATCTTTAAAAAGAAAAATGTAGAATTATCATAGAAATGATAAATTGAGGGGGTAAATTACAAAGTTTACAATTTAAAATTCAAAATAAAAAAAGTGCCAGCCGGAAGATGGAGCGAGATTTGTAGGACGAAATCAAGGAAATTATTCAAAAATAACCCAATATAATCATTTTAGGTGGCCAACACCTTTATCACAGAAAAATGAGCTATCTTCATATTTCTGAGCTATGATTACTCTCATTTTCTTGATTAAGCATTGAGCAAGGTGTGATAGATACATTAGGTTAATCAATCTTCAATACTATCAATAATTAAATGAATGTATGGACTTTAGGGAAATTGTTACCAAAAGAAACGCAATTAGTTGAATTTTGGATAAAATTAGATAGGATTGTATTTTTCTAGGAATAAAATGCCTTAAATTTTAATTTGTAAGTAAACAAAATTAATTCCACCTCGATATCTTTTATCAATCCCTTTCCAATTTCCAAAATTAGGCCTTCACCAGAGCATTTCTCTCTCCTCCCATGCAAACCATTCAAGGTTCAAATAAACTGTAGGGTCGTCCAAGCAGCATTCCCCTAACTCTATCCTTTCACCTATCTAGTAGGCTAAAAAACATCTCATATCTTTCATTTTTCCATAAAAGACCTAATCATTTACCCTAATAATTTCCTGCCAATTTGTAATTCTTCCTAAATTTAAATTTTAAATCACTCCATAGTCCAAAGAAACTTTTGAATCTCGAAACCCAATTTTTTTTTAAGACGTTAAGAAAAAGATTCAAATTTCCTGCTTTTTCTTGATCCTTCAAAAACCACAACTCAATTGATCCAAGCAAGAATTTTGAATCTAACGTTTTGAAGCTCCTTGAAGCATGGATTTTGAATTGCATTTGTTTTGCAAAGTCTATGTGGCTATATAATGGGTTTTTTAAAATATTTTAATTGAACCTTTAATTGTTTTATAAAAGAGGGTTATTAATATAAATTTCAATTTATGCAACTACTTTAGGGCGTGGCAATAAATAGAACACCCACCCCCTCCCCAACCCAAGCATTTATTCCCGCTAATTCACTCTCTAATTCCCTAAGAATTCTTTCTTCTCTCCATCTCTCCCATTTTTTCTACATTTTTTCACAATTTTGTTTGTGTTGGCTTTCAGGTTTAGTTCAAGAACCAAGAGATCCAAAAGGCTCTCTTTCATGGAAGGTAGCAGCACTAAAGCCTGAGAGATTCAAGAAGGTTTCTGCTTTGAATCTAGGAGTTTGAAGTGTTGTAGCAATAGAATGAAGGTTATTTTTAGTGCTGCTTTCTATAGACATGTCTTTCTATGTTTAATCACCTTTACATTTATCACATATTTTTTAATGAAATTACACTTATGTTTATCTTGTAGGTATAACACTTGGAAGGGATTAGAGCTGAAACGAGGCAAAACAGAGCGAAATTGGGGTGCTGCCAGCAAATGTGGCGTTGTCGCGCCCGAGCCATAGCGCCGGTCATGATTAGAAACAGACGCTATAGCGCTGATTCTGGCGTCATAGTGCCAGAAACCGTTCCGGAAGGTTATTGCTCGAATTTGAGTTAAAAAACACTTTTTGGCCCTTGGGAAGGCACCTTTTGGCTTTTTCAAACTCTTGGAACTTCCAAAAACGTCCAAGGGTCGTAGATATGAGTAAGAAAATAGATTTCTACCTTTTCTGGAGAGATCAGTGAAGAATTTTGAGAGATATCTAAAATAAATTATGGAAACTTTGTGTGGGTCAGCAGAAGACTTTGTTGGAGGGATTTTCATATTTCTTTCAAAGGAAAATACTAAGTATTGAGTTCTTCATTATCTTTAATTGTTGTTAACACTTTTTTAGTGAATTTAATTTGATTTAAACGAAGTTTTCTATTGTGTTTTCTCCATGCTTAGTAGTTTTCATTACTCTTTCTTCGTATGATGAGATTTAATCATGTGTGAGATGAGAATGACTTCAAGATTTCTTTTTATTTTACAAAATTGCAATGATATTTTCACCGATTTTTCATTGACTTTACAAGCTGATCACTTGTGAGGTTAAAATCTGTTGCGAAACACAATGACCTGGGAGGGTTATGATTTCACCAACTAGTAAGTACCAAACATAACTTTGGAAAGAGTCGTCACGATCATCTGAGAGGAAGTGCAAATAGATAGGGAAATAAGTTTTGATGGGTGTAGAATTGATGTGTCTAGGGTGACAGACTATATTTTTTTATCTATTCGGACTTGGGTTCGGATATAAAAGTCCCTAATAGGTCTTATAGAGAGGGCACAGTGGGTAATATAGAAGTGAGGCTAGAATCTACTCAGCACTACTACACAAGCTGGAGCAAACTTTTGATTAGTCAATGTTCTTTGCTAGCACCGAGAGGGGGTAAAGAATGAGTATGCTCCTATTTGTCACAATACAATAGTTTTAACCTTTAAACATTTTATTCCTACACTAATTATAATCTCATCGAAAGGAGAAAGGGATTTAATTATTTAAGATATTTTCAAAATTTATCCAGTCTCCTTAGATTTGATTTTTATTTGATTTAGTTAATCATAAATTTAGATTAAATCAGTGAATTTAGGAAAACAAAACTTTTTAAAATTCCAAACTAAGACTTGACAGTAGTAGACTAGAATTAGCCTAAGAGATTTCTTACCTCGCTTCTCTATGGGATCGATACTGGAGTTTTAAGAAAAGTCATATATTACTTGAAACGATACATATATTTGCGTAGTATCCCAGGTGTGAAGGCATAAAACTATTGATAAAAAATTATATATTTTATAACATATCGATTTTGCACACTAGGCATTTTTGTCATCTTTTGGAAGCTAAATTACTACAAATTGTGGGACGGGTCAAATTTTTGGCGTCGTTGCCGGAGATTTGAATTGAATTAGTGTGTAGCACTAGGGTCGTATCAATAAACTCAATGACTCCAATTTCCTCTAATGATATCATACTGTTTCATTATTCGTCAAAGGTCAGGGTAAATTCAACCACCTCACGAGTATGATTTGTGAACCTCCGAAGACAGACTCAATATATACTGCGTGGGAAGTGGAAAACTTCATAGTTATGTCATGGCTGATTGATTCCATGGAAAACTCTATTGTCATTTCTTACTTGTTTCTTCCGTCTGCAAGTGTCCTATGGACTGTTGTTCGCAATACCTACTTGGACGTAGGTAATTCTAGGCAACTTTATGAAATTTTTAAAAAGATCTGCAAGGCTAAACAGGTATTGATGATGATGACCCAGTACTACAATGATTTGGTTGTTTTATGGATGAAATGTGACATCTAATTGGGACTCGCCTGCAAATCTTTTTCACTTCCAAAAAACATGGAAAAAGATCATGTGTTCCAATTTCTAGCGGCCCTGAATAAGGACCTTGATGAAGTATACGACCATATACTAGGTCGTGACCTTATAACTTCAACACAAGCAGCTTTCACCGAGATCCATCATCAAGAAAGTCGAAGTGTTATGCTTAGCAACTCATCTACTTCATCCGAGTCGTCTGCCTTGATCTCCAACAACACTCCACACTTTATCACGTCATCACGAGCCAATCACTCCACATGTGACTTTTACCACAAACCTTATCATACCCGCAACAAGTGTTGGAAGCTTCATCGGAAACCCACAAATAAGTCTTCAAACAAATCTTTCGCTGTAAAAGACCCAATCACAACCTCAAGAATCGACTACAATTCAATCGACCACCACTCGGACCTTTCCTGACTCACCAGACACTATTAAGGACCATATAGAACACTTGATTAGGTTGCTTGGATCTAGTCAGTTATCAACCGACCTCGTCAACCTCTCATGTCGATCAAGGT